CCCTGTAGAAGTCTCTATATTTTTAAAAAGTGCTCTGAATTAAACTACATATGCTCACAAAATTTCATTTCAATACAAACTGTCGTTCTCCTTAGAGCCTCCGCGGCGTATGAGAGGCGCCACCCTGTACATTCCCAAATATTTCTTAAAAATTTGGAACGCAACAGAAAACATAAAAGAATAGAAATTAAATATGGTGTGTATTCTGAATCGGTACGTTTCGGGAATGTACGCATCTAAACGCCGGATTTACCACAAATATGAGTGTGTATAAAAATGTAGATGGCGCTGCGATACAGCGAACTTTAGGTTACCACAATTCTGAAAGTGTGTGATACCAATAAATATTATGATTTGTGGAAACTTACACACGTAATTTTTCGGCTCTAACCGACCAGACTAATTTTGACCCGAGGATATCGAATTTGCTATCAGAAAATTGTGGTATACGCGTGTATGTATACCATAATTGAGACGTATGTCACAAATACTACTACTGCACACACAAGGTGTCACAAATATGGTCACACATACACACACAATCGTCAATTAAAAAAAACTACTATTTTAGTATTTTAAATATTTTAATAAACGCAAAAATAGCACAGTATTTGTAAGGTGAAGTTATAAAAATTTGGAAGAACTAATAATGCACTGACGTACACAAAAATCAAACGAATACTAAATTTCATTTATCAAAAATCAAAAGCATTCGATAGTCGTGGCTCAACGATAACCATTTAGTTGCACGGCGAGGTTGTCACATATGCTTTAGTATACAAATGAATGAATGATTTTATTCGAATAAAACCATTCGATAGTTGAAATCATTCATTCAGTAACCATTCGATAGTCTAATTCATTCGATAGTTCCCATCGCTAGTACCAATGCTGGCGCCCTTAGTGGACAACCTTACCCTTGACACTTGACTGGATCTAACTCCGTCACGGGTTAACTGATTTGGGTGAAGTCAACATTTTTACTATTCCCATATCCATTTCGATACCACAAAGGTACATATACATATTATTTAATTCGGTTTGTATTGCCGAATACATATCTTTGGAAAAATTGAAAACGGCACTACCTACGTCCTTAATAAAAATATATACGTACCTACATATTTATATCTGTATGTCTAAACACAACTGTAATTTAGTTTAATAGATCCAAAATAGGTGACATATTATATTTTGTGGCTTACAATTAATATATTACCGAGATACAAAGAGAATATTCTTACTATCATATTTAGTTCCTGCCGCATAAAGATAAGCATATCCTGTTATTTTTATACTGTTTAATAATTTTTCAAAGATGTTATTTTTAAATATAAAAACTACATCAAAGGAAGCATAAAGAAATGATTAATCTAGCTAAACCTCAAGAAACAAACCTAATGAGAAGTTATAATAAAATATAATTACCTTGTACGTAAATTTAACATAAACGAAAATGGAGTATTTGAAACTTAATTAAAACATACAATAACTTATCTTTATGAATAAAAAACATTACACACTTGTCAAAATTCAAAAAAGAGTTAGGTATTTGAGTTCTTGGTAAAATTGGAGCCATACCGGTTGCGTCTCAAAAATGGCTCGCCCCTATAATAACTTTTTTATTTTTGCAGATAAATAAATAGGATTTGGTATGTTAGTACATGACATAAATTACGATTGATTGATGTATTCAGTTGTTTTTGATCACTTCCTGTTTCACCGGAAATGACTACAACTTTTGATTTTTAAATGACACTCTCTATATGTTTTTACGTTATTGGATAGAAAATGACACCAACTCTGAATAGAATGACATATCATATGTCAACTTTTGACATTTTCGCATATGGTTTATTTGAAATTGTAACACGGTTCATAATGACAATTTGACCCCAAATACCAAATGTGTGGTACCAAATTATTCGTAAAAAATGCTTTTTCTAAATATGCCAATGAGCCACCCTTGTTCCATTTGAAGAAAATTGAGATATGATTAAAAATAGTATTTGGGCATCTTTTAACCGGCCAGTACGCCACGAAAAGACACGATAAACATTAAAGGGTCAAATCTATTTTTCCAAGGCTCCTTGGTTAAAAATTAGTATTTTTAACACAGCCATGACACTCTAGATTGAATTTTAAAATACGATTTGTTTTTAAGCAAAAATGTCAAAATTTCACATATGATAGGTCATTCTATTGAGAGTCTTATTTTCTATCAAAAAAATCGATTTTATCGATAAAGTAAAAAATCGATTCTATCGATAAAGTAAAAATATTATATATAATAAACAATTGAATATGTCAATCAATCCTAATTTATGTTATATACTAACATACCAAACCTCGTTTTTTTATCTAAGGAAATTAAAAATTATAGGAGTGAGCCACTTTTGAGACGCACCCGTATATTAATCACCGTATATTGATTTTTTTTAAGTATGGTTGAATTATTTTATATATGTAAATAAAAACTTTTGTTATATCTATTCCATTTTTTCAATAAATGTTTTTTTTTATATAATTTGTACGTAGTAATTTTATTTGTAATACAATAACTCTATTTATTGTATGTTAATAGTCAGATTCCCGATTTTTGTATTTTTTAATTTTATTTATTATCTACAGGGTTGTTCACCACATACGACACGGAGTATTGTAGCTAAACGATTAGATTTTTACAAATTGTTTTGGGTTTGTTGAAGGACTATTAGAGCTACAATTTAAAAATATTTTTACAAGATACAGAGTGTCCCAAATAAATAAAAAATATCAAAGTTTTATTTTTTTAAATGGAACACCCTGTATATTATTGCATTTTTAGTTTCTACGATTAAAATAAAGGTAAATTTGATTAAGGTTTATTAACACTTAAACCTTACCGTTTTTGAAATATTTTCAATTTTGCGAAATTGCAGTATAAATTTTAAGGCTTTATTTCTCCGAGGATATCAAAGTTTTTAATACTAAATATTTACTGAAGTTTATCTATCGATCAGTTATTGTGTTGCAATAATAAAAATTATACTACCTTATACAGAGTGTCTAAAATTTTATTTTAAATAATTAAATTGCTTTAAACGGCAATAACTTATTTACATTAAATAGAACACCCTGTATATTTTATGAGAATCAGATGCACAATTTAATTGTCTATCAAATTGTATTATACCACTTCTTACCTATTCCTTCAAGTTTTCGTAGAAAATGCATTTTCTTATAATTTAGACCTCATTTATCAATATACCCATGGAATATTGACATTTTAGATTGTTTTTAAACAACAAATGTACAAAATGTACAGGCTAGTAATATTATCGTTTTAGTAAAACGATAATATTACTAGCCCATTATGTATGCAAAAAGAAAACTATTTAAATCTTTATAAAAGAGTATACCATTAATTAAATATACCACAGTATTTCCGCCCAAATACTAATTAACTACATACTTAATTGTGTTCGTTAATAAATTATTCTAAATAAATGTGGATTTGAATCAGAAATCAATATAATAATAAGTTATGAAAATGAACGTCTCTGTTGTTATAAATAGGCATTTGTCGAAAAATTAAATATCATTTTTAAGGTGTTACTTTTTACCACACTGTCTAATACACATACATAATTCAGCTTTTTAGTATTTGGAGCAATTATTATTAATCAACGCAAACAGTCAATTAATGTAGTTTGAATACTGGAATCATATTAATTGGTCCTTTTTAACAAATATTTAAACAGTTTTTTTAATGAAATAAACGAACTATATCGACAATATTAGTATCTGTACTCTTTAAAAATTTGGTACATCTTTAAAAATAATCTAAAATATCAGTATTCCATGGGTATATTGATAAATAAGTTCTAAATTACAAGAAAATGCATTTTCTACGGAAACTTGAAGAGATAGGTAAAAAATGGTGTAATACAATTTGATAGACAATTAAATTGTGCATCTGATTCTCATAAAATATACAGGGTGTTCCGTTTAAATTAAACAAATTATTGCCGTTTAAAGCTAGTAATTATTTAAAATTAATTTTTAGACACTCTGTATAAGGTAGTAAAGTTTTTATTATTTCAACACAATAACTGATCAATAAATAAACTTCAGTAAATATTTAGTAATAAAAACTTTGATACCCTCCGAGAAATGAAGCCTTAAAATTTATACTGCAATTTCACAAAATTGAAAATATTTCAAAAACGGTAAGGTTTAAGTGTAATAAACTTAATCAAATTTACCTTTATTTTAAGCGTAGAAACTAAAAATGTAATAATATATAGGGTGTTCCATTTAAAAAAATACAACATTGATATTTTTTATTTATTTGGGACACTCTGTATTTTGTAAAAATATTTTTAAATTGTAGCTCTAATAGTCCTTCAACGAATCCAAAACTTACAATTTGTAAAAATCTAGTCGTTTAGCTACAATACTTCGTGTCGTATGTGGTGAACAACCCTGTATAATAAAGTGCACCAGTGTTAAAAGTAAATGACTTTTATCATCACTGACATAATGTCACATTTTAGGCACTGACAGCATGTGTTAAAAATAACATTTTTACTGACGTTTGTAGAAAAAATTTTTTTTGTATATTTCTAGTTTTTGATACTATTTCAACCAATGTCATGTGACATATTCTTGTTATAAAGAGGTGTATCTATCTATATGTTGAATGATAAGTGCGTCACTAGCAATGACATTGACAGCTGATCCAAAGTTATTTGAAATCTTTATTAACGTATTAAAAACATATTATAAAATTATAATACAGCTAATCGGAAACATATTAGTTATATAAACACTAATACATTTTTATCAGTTGTAAGCTTTTATATATTTTTTAGTTATCTGATATTTGAAAAGGACCCAAGTAATTCAGAATCAGCTGATTCTGTTAAAAATTTCACTGAATTTTTAACAGAATGATGTTTTTTTATAAAGCAGCAAGCAGCTTAAACAAACATTTTTTAGTAAGCAATCGTTCTTACTGGATGACTGATCACAGTATTGAGACGGAATCATATCGGTTCTAAAAGCTATCTAATCCTCTGTGCGATTATTATCCTATGTCACAACCTCGAACAAATTGTTCACAATAGATCTATTAACGATCCTGCAGAACGCTTTTGATTGTGCAAAGTGATCTAGACAGCCGCCAGGCAGTCCAACCGTCAGTCGTTGTGTTGGCCGGAAAAACAACCAAAGCTCCGGTGGTCATTTTGCCAAAAACCAAACGTCCGTCGCGACGATCCAGATCGTAATTATTGAGGTTAGAAAAAGCAGCGAGGAAGCCTGGATACGCATCCACAGGCCGACCGCATCATACTGGCGCCGTATGGCCTCTGGAATATCGATTGGAGTGAGTTAAATAAAGAAGGCAGGAATAAGTCACGAAGTAGAGAGAAAGAATAGAAAACTAACGTTTTTTCTGGTTATAAACCGTCCTGCTGTGAAAGAAGAAAGGGTTAAAGAAATCAAAAGACGTGCGTGAGTGTAGACAGGAAAGTAAGGCATCTACATATTGCCAGCAGGTGTGGTGTACCTACGCTGTTCCAAGTCGGAGCGAAATAAATGAAATTACAGGAGGAGGCGGTGCGTCACGTGATTACTGCAGGATATTATATAGTAGGGGAGTCTAAGATGGCTAAGTGGGGACTTACTCGTTATTAGCCTCCCATACACCAGAAGAACCGGCCTGCGGATCGTGCCTTTGGATGAAATCTTTGTGTTTGTGAACCAGTCCAAGTCTGTGGAAGGCCAAGCCTTTGGCGGACTATAAGCTTGTCGCAGGCTATTTCCGCCAAAACCTGGCTAATGAGACTAAATTTGTCTAAAAAATCGAACGAAAGGAAAGTCCGCGTTCGAACGTTTTTTCTCTCCCAGCGAAATACGTCAGCTTTTATTCCGATAAACATTTATCTATATAAGAACTATTTACAATTTATAAACTGCCTCTACACTATGCGGAGAACTCTTCGAAACAGGTCAAGACCGCCCCATACAGCACATCTAATCACATTTACGATGTGTTTACATTATTAGATGTAGACACAGGGTGACACAATTCCACCGATGTAAATATGCTACGTTTACACATTGTAGTTCAACACGTATGCACAAAGGTTAAACGTCCGCCTCACAATGTATCCACAGTATAGCATTTACGTATACACAAATTAAGGGATACACAGTGTGCCGTAGGATACACAGTGCATGTGTATTACGTTTAAACTCTGTTTACACATTGCAGTTGTGACTACCGCATGTATACGTATGTATTTTGCTTCGTATATACATTTTGTGCTAGATAAAACTACTTCTTATGAACGAATTTAGGAAATAATACAAGTTTTGATGCCTAACTTTTCGTTCTTTTTAAGAAATATTTATTCAATGATACCAATTATATCTTTTTAGAACGAAAATTAGGAAGGCAAAACTTTGTATTTTCCAAAAGTATCTCGATCGTAAGTTCAAGAGAAGGCTTAAAATTGTTCCATTTTTGTTTTGTATTAAATGTACCATTTTTCTTCCATAAAATGAATTAAGTGGTTAAAAAATAAAATTCTTATATTTCTTACTTCTAATTATTTACACTGCAGAAACCAGAAGTAAGAAAACTCTGTAAAAGAACAGAATTTGTATCAAAATGTATTAAAAATATAAGTACCTAGTATAACAACATACTAAAATGGTAAACACTGGTATATCGCCACGATTTGGTGGACCTCGTTTAGTCATTTTTTTCTCCTCTTTTCCCTCCAAGCTGTTGGTTTGTTAGCATACTCATTCAACGAGCACTCTGTTGGACTTTGTTGTATTTTATTTCCAGATTAATAATCTCACCCTTAAATTTTATATGAAACTGATTATTGAATATTAAACATATCTGTATATTGATCCATCAATAACTTACCGAATATCAGTGTAAAAAGTTCTTTAAAGTGTTTAAATCTTTCTTTCTCTGGTCCATTTAGATTTTTATTATTTCCAAATTAAAAAAATATATATTGCAGAGCTAACCTCTTTATCATTATACGAGAATATTTGCAGTTTTCATTCATTGGAGTTAAAATTTGGTAAATTAGGTATCGAGTAAGGGAAGATTCGCTGCTATAATATTAATAACACTCTTAGGAAGGTAATTAAAAACTTGTGCTTACCTTAAAATCTCTTAAGCTACACACAAACAGAACATTTATATAGAGCTTCCGAATGATAAAACAATAATGGCTGCTAACACATACCAGTCCTAGAAAGGAGAAAGGAGAGAGGACACATAAGATACACTTGGTCGGCGTGTCTACGCTGAGGCTATCCGCGCATGCGCACACCTTTATTTCATGCTAGAATGTAGACACAACAGTACACTATTACAAAGTGTCTATATAGAAATTTATATTATGTGTATACGTCACATTTTTACAAGGTGTGTACTATAGGCACAACTATGATACGAAGTAACACACATACATATGACATAAACATTGTATGTCTCATATACCGACGTCATATTTCATCATTTTAATAGTTATTTGTTACGTTACAAAAAACTTTTTAGAATCTTGAGTGCATACGGTATCACACAATTCTATCAAGATAAACCTGCGTGTATCTCATATGTATATGTTAGAACTAGATGAACAATTAGGTTCACTTTAACATATTTTGTTTCTCATGTGTCTCCCTTGTAGAAACGTAATTTCATTTGGACGTGCTGTATGGGGCATTTCTATTTATTTCCAGTTGTATTAACCCATTTCGGTTTGCCTCGACCTACTTCCGATTCTTAAAAGCGCCTGAAATCTACTCATTAGAAGGGCGTGTGAATTTTTTTAGCGTTTCCTGTTGCCTCGTTCAATTTTGTTTCATTTTGAGCTATTTCTAAAAACGTGGCGGTATCTGTACCCGAGGCAAAGGACTTTTTTTCATAAATCTCAGTAAAATAAGTAAACCTAGGTCTCTCTAAAATAGCTGTTGTTACAATGATATTTTGTTAATTAATCTCGTTTTATGTTGATATACAGGGTGTCCCAGAAATGAGTGCAGATATTTTAACTGGTAGTATAGTTCAACCCCAGAAACACGCCTATGAGGTTTTTTTTGCGAAAAAAAAATGTTGAAAATTTTATATTTTTCTTGACATTTTCCGGAAAATGTTGAAAAACTTTTGAGTGCCACTGTTCACTCCCCGAGAAATTCGTTTACCGGGCAGAGAGAGTGTCGGAGAGAATGCAAAGTTGCCACCTCCTACCATACCCACATTCTGCATGTTTATCTATAAATTCAATTATTTTAAGTTGCTACAGAAAAAAATACGAAAATTAATTTTATTCATATTAGTGTAGATTGCTCTACTAATTATAGAGAAACGCGCAATATTTTAAATACTTTTTACAGTGGAGTAAACTGAAAAAATAAATCTTAACAATTATAGCTTCCTTTTTCGCCATATTAGGAAATATTTTCAATCGTTTCAATAAACAATTATAACCTTTAATGTTTAGTTAGAGCTTACCCTTTTAATGAAAGTGTTTTTTATCCAGCACATACAGGGTGTCCCAGAAATAAGTGCAAATATTTTAACTGGTAGTATAGTTCAACCCCAGAAACACGCCTATAAGGTTTTTTTTTGCGAAAAAAATGTTGAAAATTTAAAATTTTTCTTGACATTTTCCGGGAAATTTGAAAAAAACTTTTTAGTGCCTTGCAGTGTTGTAACCTCCTATGTTATCCACATTCTACATAGTTCTACATTTATAAATTCATAGAAAAATTTCTACTCAAAAATTAAGAATGTTAAATTTTTATCAGTGCTCATTATTAATAATTATATAGAAAAAAAACACATTAATTATTTTTAGTACTTACCCTTTCAATGAAAACTTAACAAAAACCACCGAAAATTAACTAAAACATTACGTTTATGACGTTTACGAAAATGATTCATTATATTATTCACAACCAGGTCACAAAAAAGAAATTCCTAAAATGTTTATCGTAATTTAGAATTCAATATTTGTTTTCTTTCATGTTTCTCTGTTTTATTTGAACCACTGATTTACAAAACACCTTGAAAAGCGCACATTACTTTGAATACCTCTCTTATCGCTACTTTACGAACTACTTTCAATTTAAGACATGTTTCACTCAACAATTTTAAATACGTATTTTGTTTTTTCGCTATTTTTTCGATGTATTTTGACAGCCCGACCGTCGCGTGTTGGCCAAGAGTGCCACGTGTGAACTGGTCCTTTGAGCCGCGCCGTCGTGGCAGGCTTGCGTCAGACGACGATGTTAAGCAACGTTGCCGTAGTTACAACAATTTCAAATTCAAGAGATTCGAAGCAATCAAATTTGTATTAAATTTTAAAATAAAACAGAGAAACATGAAAGGAAACAAACAAAACGAAAATGAATTGATTATTCGTCGGGCTGTTTTCGATATATTGAATTCTGAATTACGATAAACAATTTAGAAATTTCTTTTTTGTGACCTTATCAATAATCAATTCATTTGTGTTTTGTTTGTTTCCTTTCATGTTTTTCTGTTTTATTTTTAAAATTTAATAAGAATTTGATTGTTTCGAGTGTCTTGAATTTGAAATTGTTGAAACTACGGCAACCTCGCATGACGCAAGCTCGACACGCCGGCGCGACAAAGAAGCACTGGGCAGTTACCAACCAGTGATGCGTGGCTGTCTTGGCCGACGGATGGTTGGGCTGTTGACGGAATTGTCGAAATACATCGAAAAAATAGCGAAAAAGCAAAATACGTATTTAAAATTGTTGAGTGAAACATGTATTTTCTTAGATTGAAAGTAGTTCGTAAAGTGGCGGTAAGAGACAATAATTCTCAACATTTATTCATTCAGAAAGATATTCAAAGTAATGTGTAATGTGTGCTTTTCAAGGTGTTTTGTAAATCAGTGGTTCAAATTGTGATGAAGCCTATACGAAAATAATGTGTTAAGTTAAAAATGGGGACTGTTATTTTAGCAGTTTTATAATAGCACGTACAAGTAAAGCAGCACAATGAAGTGTATTTTAGTTAAGTGTGTATCGAAAAAGAGAACTGTCGCAGTTACATCGATCTGTCATAAGTATCTTTTTTAATGTTGGGTAAGTTTTTTAATTTAACTTTTAAACATTTAACTTTTAATTTATTTTATGTAATTATATCACAATCTTAAAATGTAATGCATCTCTGCAAACTCCTCAGGTGTTGTGATTTTATGACTTACTTGTAAACATATACTTTCTTGTCCATATGGCAACACAGTGCGTCGAAT